GGTTTAGGGCTTAGGGCTTATGGAGCTCAGGGCGTATAGGGTTTGGGGCGTACAAGGCGTTTTGGGTTCAGAGCTCAGGGCTTATAGGGTTTGGGGCTTATAGGGCTTATAGGGTTTAGGGCTTATAGGGTTTGGGGTTTAGGGCTTGTAGGGTTTAGGGTTTAGCGCTTATAGGGTTTAGGGCTTCTAGGGTTTGGGGCTTAGGGCTTATAAGGTCTAGGGTTTAGGGCTTACAGGGTTTGGGGTTTAGGGCTTTGGGCTTTGGGCTTTACGGCGTTAGAGGAAACCCTGTAAACCCTAAACCGAAGGCTCTTTTCTGGCTTGAGGGCTTTAGGACTTGGGCGTGTTGGGTTTTTTGGGGGTTTGGGGTATCGCCTTTTGCGTTTCGGGCTTTAGGGGTTTAGAGGTATAGGGTTAGGGTTTAGGGTTTAGGGGGTAGGGTTTAGGGGTTAGGGGTTCAGGGTTTAGCGGGCTTTCGGATTTGAGTTTAGAGCTTAGGCGAAAGGATTCAGGGGGTTGAGGTGCGATACCCTCCCGACTCATATCTCGCCAAAGGACTTGTCCTCAAGTTCATGTTTCCAAGAGACCCGACGTGTCTCAATCCCTGTGAGATGGCATGCTCGTGCTGTTGTGCAGGCATGTCAGCATGAATCCTCCTCACGGCTGGTGCAGGGTTTAGCTCTGGCGGTTCAGGGGTTGAGGGTTTAGGGTTTAGTGTCGGGCTGAGCCACCAAGTCCTCTAACTTGAAACCACCACCCCAAACCCGCAACCCTCAACCCTAAAGCCCTAAAACCCTAAACCCTAAACCCCTAAACCCTAAACCCTAAACCCGAAAGCCCTGAAACCCTAAATCCCTCAATCCCTAAAACCCTAAAGCCCTAAACTCCTAAACCCTACACCCTCAGGCTCTAAAATTAACCCCTAAACCCAAAACCCTAAAACCCTAAACCACCCTGAGATTACCTGATGCTCAGGGGCGGAGTCAGGCCCGTAAGCTACCACGGCATTCTCCCAGGCCTGGAGGTATAGGGCCGCAAAGGCGGGTTTAGGGTTCTCTGGTTTAGGGTTTAGGGGTTTAGGATGTGGGATCTTGAAGCCAAGACGAGGACACATTACTCCCGTTTTGAGACGACCAAACAGAACGGCATTTTCAGAACGGTGCAGAGCAAGACGAGGCACAAGCCAACAACGGTAGATACGTTTATAAGCAAGTAGCATCACCAGAACCAACATCGTAAGACCAATCGGCAGCAACACAAGCAGGCGGATTGATCGTAACCACGCCGAACCTCGCACTCTGAACCCTCAAACTCTCACCAACCCTAAACCCTAAACCCTTAACTCCTTAACAGTGAGGGCCCTCCAGCCCGGAGCGCTTCCGCAGGAGTTGGGGTTAAAACTTCAGGGTGGAAACAGGGACCTTGAGCCATGAAATCTCCGAGAGAGCCCAATACCTCCTAGTGAGCAAGGTAGGCGAAACCAGAATCAGCACCCCCAATACAATTGGGCTCTCTGGGCGAAGCCCTAAACTCCTGCACCCTAAAGCAGCCTAAACCCTAAACTCCTACACCCTGAACTTCGGGCTTTGGGGGGGTTCGTGGGGACCTCTTTGGCCATGCTTTTCGCTAGGTCGGCGTCGCCGCCTTCCCAGGCAAGCCTTGGCGCGGCCCGTGACGATTCTGATCGTAGTTATGACGCTTCCTGTTCTTCTTATTGTCCATGTTTTTTGCTCTGACTCTTCTTACTGCTTTGGTTAGCATTATAATTATGATGCCGATTACTGCTGCTCTTGTTATTATTGGTAGCACTATCTTCTCCTGTATTGCTATTCATAGTCTCATTACTATCATTATTGCTATTTTTACTAGTGCAGTTGCTCCTCCTCTTTTTTCTACAACGACAACTGCTGCTGCTGCTGC